TTAATGTTTACAGTCTTGGTTTGACCAGGATGTAGCGGCTCAAAAGGAGTTTGCAACGGGTATCATGAGGACTTGAAAAGCAGTCAATGAAATGCTAATGTTACAAGTTTTCTACAGATTTTCTACATATAAGACGATGAGGAAAATGGGGATTGAACTGAAGTATTTGAACTTTTATGATTTTGTAAATATTACTTTTGTACAGCATTTTATCTGCTATAAACTTGTCCAAAGGGAAAATAAAAAAGATATTTGTATCGCACCTGTTTGTTGGAGTGTCTATTAGCTTGACAACTCTTGCCTTGGTGGTTTTGTTCTCGATGCAGGTGGTGCACTTGCCTCCTACGACCGCCAGGAGAATGCCGAAGACAGAGAGCACGATGGAGAGGACGAGCAAAGCGCGCGCGGCTTGCAGGTCCGAGGACAGGGCGAGTAATGAATCGTACACTTTGCACTGCATGTGTCCAGTGCTCTGAACCACACAGGACATCCACAGTCCCTCCCAAATGATCTGCGCCGTCACGATGTTGTTGCCGATGAAAGCTGTAACCCTCCACATTGGAAGGACGCAGGTCATGATAGACCCAAGTAACCCAACAGAGGACAGGGCAACTCCTAAAATCTGCAGCCCCAAAGATGCCATGGCTCTTCTCGTTCTGACACCCCTTTCGTTTAATTTTTTTTACTGACTGAGGCAGTTTATATAGACCCCCAAACGCTCGGGGTGGGATTTGGGGATTTGAACAAACGAACTGGACTTGAGAAGCAAAAAAGGGATGTGGTCTTCTTGGACGTGGTTCAGCTGCTTGGCTTAACTTCATTTTAAATATCATTTAAGTAAAAAAAAAAAAAAAGCTCAACTGTTTCTGTTCTGCTTTTTCACCCCCAAAAAGGGAGAAAAAAAGATGATGATGATGATAATACATTTTCTTTGATAATAAAATTTCATTTTAGTTATAAAGAGATCACAACTAAGAATGTGTTCAGACCACAGCCAAACTATACTGAGAACAATTTTGCAATAGAGATATGACATTTCCTTGAACCCTTTCAGTAAATTCACTTTTTTTTCACAATTCTTTTTTTTTGTTTTACAGTAATATTACAGTATTCGCAACAGTTCCTACTGTACAATCTGTGTACATGTTACTGTGAATTTTGTTATTTTCACTTATCCTATTATGTTCTCAGCAGTTCTGTGTACAGTATATTAGTGTAGATCAGTGGTCATCAACTTTTTTAAGCCCAAGATCCGTGAAGAATTGAATTGATAGAAAAAGACAACCCAGATTGTACTTGCAGTCTCAGATCTTTTATTTAATATTTTAATTAGTGATGCACCCCATCATGATTTTTCATGGCCAATTCAGATTCCGATATTTTATAAAAAAAATTACAAGCAAATTGGCTGATTCCGATACTGGTTGCTGATTTTTTTATGCAAGTTTACTTATTGTTTATTCGCTCTGTAACAAGCAAACTGGCCTTAA